TTCATATCGTATCTTAGTTCATTTTCAGGGTAGCCAAATTAGGCTTTGATCCTCTGTATAAACACAAACAAACCACAAAGGGTATTTTTTAATACAAATATCCCCAGAACAAAAAATATGTGAGCTAGGTGGTGAAAAACAAAGTTGGGCGGCTGGACACAGACAGAGGAATGTGACTGGCTGTGCAGAGCAGAGGAGCTGAGCCCCAAGCCCAGCGTGGGGGAGGCCCAGGGACAGCGACTGACACCACAGTCCCCACTAAGGCTCAGCAGCAGCACCCCAGGCACCCCTGACAGTGGGAATGAGAGGGCGTCCCAACTAGAGGGTGAGCTGGAAATCTATTGAAGAAGCAGGGAAACCCCTGTGCCCACCATCCACCCAGCAGAAGGCTGCAGATTTGCTTCCCAGAAGTAGGAACCAGAGGGGCTCTGGGGGGAGGACCCCAGGCATTTCTGGGGCCATGGTTCACCCTTAGAACTTGGCAAACTGGTGAACTGATGAGACCCTAAACGCCTGGACCTCTTTATGCCTCCCAGGACTCAGACAGGCAAGCTGGTGGCCCACAGTCCATCTAGGGCAAGAGATGAGGAGATGGTTCTCTGGAAATCTATCCGATGCCCCAAAAGATCGTGAAATCCTGACAGATGCCCCTACAGCCCAGTAGCCGACAAGCACTTGCCTGCAGCCACCCACAGCTTCCAGTCAGCTTGGCTTTGTGCATGCTGAGAGCCAGGGGGCAGGGCGGGGGTGTTGGCCTGCACAGAATTCCCCAGCCCTGAGGATGGCGCCCTCCCCTCAGCTGTGCCTGGGATGCCAGGGGCTAGAAACACTATTTACAAATTCTGTGAAACTAAAAATTTGAGTAAGCCTTTCCCAAGACCGCAGAGAGCAAACCAAAGCTGGGGGCAGGGAGAGGGAGATGCAGAACCACCAGAAACCAGGGGGGTTGAAGGACACCTTCAAATAGTTAGAGATGGTCCACCTGTACCAGACAGGGGTTACCAAGGAGCTTTCCAAACAGAAAGGAGCTCTTAGAAATTAAAGATATAAGAGCAAAAGTGAAAAACTGTAAAAAGATAGAATGAAATATAAAGTTTGTAGGAGTCTCTTACAATGCAGAACAAAGGTCAAAGATTTGGAAATTGGCAGGGGTTGCAGAGAGGCCCCCCGCAAAGGCATGTCCACATCCCAGTCTCCAGAACCTGTATTACCTTATATGGTGACACATGTGATTCAGTTCAGAATTTTGAGATGAGGAGGTCATCTTGGGGTTAGCTGGGCCCAAATGCAGAACCAAGGTCCTTATAAGGAGGAGAGAAGACTTGACAGGTGATGTCAGGGTTCTTGTTTGCAAAGTCAAAGAATGAGTTTCACAAACACCCAAGGTAGGAGAGCCAGGGAGAGGCTTTTATTTAGAAATAAAGTGAGGGAAAGAGCTCCTGGCTCACTCTGGGATTGGGGACAAGAAAGCCCAGGGTGGTGTGTTGTCTAGGGGATTTATAGGCAGCTGAGGATTTTTGAGAATTGAGGGCTTACGGTGTGGACTTGTAACACTTGCCCTGCCCTCAAGATGGGCTGGGTTGTTGTCTGTTTGCTAGGGCTGTTTACAGTGAAGTCCAGGTTATGCTGAGATACCCTTGCGGAACACTCAAACATTCCAGGCCAAGTTGCCCCTGGCCTTTTGACCTTTAACTGATCTCACTGAAGATGTCTATATTCCTAGTCTAGTATCTTTACCCTAGAGAATTAGTGTGATCTTGACTTTGCATAATGCTGAACACAGACTTTCGATAGGGACTTTACATTGTTACATTGCTTTGACTGTAAATATCCTGCCTTGTTTTTTCTGGAGGCCCTCACCCTACTCTGTCTAAGCCCATGGTTCCTGTCTCACAGGGACCAAAGGCCATGTGACCATGGTGGCAGAGACTGGAGTGACACAGCCACCAGAAGCTGGAGGAAGCAGGGACAGACCCTCCCCTGAGGCTCTCTGGAGAGTGCTGCCCTGGTTAACTCCTTGATCAGTGGGATAGAATATGCAATGGAACCACTTCATGTCAATGGAGCGGGGAGGCCCCTGCACTCCCGTCAAGGTCCTGGCAGGAGCAGCGTTCAGATGATAACTGAGGGAGTGTGGGCAGGACACAGGACAGGGACTGTCAGGAAGGGTGGATCCTAAGGAGAAGGGCTGGGCCCCACAGAGGCCTGGAGAGCAGTAGCAGCCTGTGGGGAGATGGAGTCCCCAAACCCGAAATGGGCAGCTCATGTGCCAGCAGGCCTGGGCTGAGGAGCACCTGGGGACTGGTAAGACAATATGTCTGGGTGTCTTGTGGGTGTTTCTGGAGAGATTAGCAGTTGGTGGGCATCCTGCACCTCGCCCCACCACCCCAGAGTGCCCCAATAAGAGACAAAAGTTGAGGAAGGGCACGCACACTGATGCATCCCCCAAGTGGAGACATCTTCTCCTGCCTGTCTTGACTCCCCTCTGTCCCTTGTCTCCTGCTGTGGACTCCTGTGGCCACTGAACCAGTGGGAGAGCAAGCCCAGGAATGGGTTCCCAGGGCACAGAGCAGGTGCAGATGATGTCCAGGTTCTTGTTCACGAGGCTGAGGAATGAGCTTCACAAACACTCAAGATAGGAGAGCAAGGTAAGGCTTTTATTTAGAGATAAAGTGAAGGGGACGAGAGAGTCCAGGTGGTGCATTGTCTAGGGGTTTTATAGGCAGTTGAGGATTTTTAAGAACATGAAAAAAGGCTTAGGAGTGTGGACTTGTTAAGTGGTGCCTGAATATTTCGAATTAACTTAACACAAGCAACTTCCTGCTCTGATGATTTTTCCATGAGATACTACTGTCTTGGTCTGGGGGCATATTAAATAAGGCTGCCTGCCCAGCCCCCAAGGTGGGCTGAGGTATTGTTTGCTAAAGAGTTAGTTAAGAATTTCTAACTTCTTAACTTCTTGGGTATTAAAATGCAATCTTATCTTTAAGGTGGAATTCTTCTTGCCTTTTACTGTGTTGCTTGTGGCTGGGTTTGCATGCTAAATTAGTTGCCCAGTTTGCAAATCATCTCATCAGATCTGAAGGAGGAAAGAAAGCACACAGGCCTGGGCCTCTTAGCATGTTAAAGTGAATCTTACACATGATTATAAATGATTAGCATAATAAAAACATGTGCTACTCTTCTTTATCTGGGGAATATTAACGGATCTCACTGAAGAATGACTCTAGAACTGAATGTCTAATACAGAGTTTTGGTAGGGGGTTTCTTTGCATGTAGTTACATTGCTCTGACTGTAAATTTCTTGCTTGCTTTTTCCAGAGGCCCTCACCCTACTCTGACTACGCCCACGGTCTCTGTCTCAGAGAGGCAGGGAGCAGATCTAGAGGTGCTGCAGGAAGACCCAGCTGAGGCCAAACCTATAATTAGTGAGGGAGAGGTCTGGAGAAGGCTCCAGTCAGGAGGGGACAGCAGGATTGGAGGCTGGTGAGGGGATGGGTGTAGCTGGAGCAGAAGAACAGGTTGAGGGTGGCAGGAGGTGGGCCAGAACAGGCAGGGGCAGGACCTGTGTGGCTCTGAAGACCCTGAAAGAACCTGTACTCTGAGTGCTCAGGAGCTTGTGAGGGTTCCTGCAGGGCAGTGTCTTCCTAAATCATGTGGTATGAGTGTCCCTCCAGTTGTTGTAGGAGAATAACACGACACAGACTAGCAAGGTCACAAGCAGGGAGCCCAGGGAGAGATGATGTGGCTTTAACAGGCCGACAGCGATGACAAATGAGAAGTGGCCAGATGTCGGTTATATCTTGACCACAGAACAGACAGGACTAGGGAATGGAGGGATGATGGCATGAGAAAAAGAATCAGGGATGACTCTACAGCTCTTGGCCTGAGCACCTCAAATGAGGATTGCCATTTACGGGGAGGGGACGTGGCAGGGGGTCAGGCACAGGAGGAAATGCAGTAGTACTTTGGACATCTTAAATCTGCGATGTTCTGAGACAAACGGAGGTATGAGTAGGTGGTGAGACACAGGGAGTGCAGGGGAGAGAGGGCGGGATTGCAAATTTGGCCAGTGGTTAAGGCTGTGGGCTAGATGAGACGACTGGGAGTGAGCGGTGACTGGGAGGAGGGCCCAGGGCTGAGCTGGGGTGTTACAGGAGGGAGGAGGAAGGGGAACCAATGAGGAAACTGAGAGGATCTGCTAGGGAAGCAGGGAAGGAACCAGGAGAGATGGGGTCCCAGCAGCCATGTAGGAGCCTGGGGTTCATGGAGAAGTTCAAATGCTGAAGGCTGAGTAAAAGGGAGAAAATGGGGGAGTAAGAGATCTGAAGCCTCAAGTGAATAGCAGGAGTAAAGAGATGCTCCCTAAGACAGCAAACTCAAACAGCAGCAGTACATGCATGAGTTAGATATGAGGTCAATGCCAAAGGATTCAACATGTTGAAAATAGCTGCCTCTGGGGTGGGAAGGGAGTGCTGAGGCTTCAGCAGGGTGGCTGTTCTTGTAAGCCACCTGGGCTTTGTGGACTCTAAATTATGTGCCTATGCAACTTTGATAAAAATAAAGATTACACTTTAAAAATAATAAAGGGTGGGAGGGAAGGGAGGGATAAGGGCGGGGAAGAAGAAAGGGGGTATTAATGTACAATGTGTCGGGGCAGGGGGAATGGGGGAGGGCTGTGTAACAGAGAGAAGACAAGTAGTGATTCTACAACATCTTACTACGCTGATGAACAGTGACTGTAAGGGGTTTGTGGGGAGGACTTGGTGAAGGGGGTACCCTAGTAAACATAATGTTCTTCATGTAATTGTAAATTAATGATAACAACAACAAAATTTTTTCAAAAAAAAAATAATAAAGGTACTGGTGGTAATACTTGCATATAATTTTTAAAAATGGTCAGACAACATAGAAGGGAGCCAAATGAAAAGTAAGGTACTCCCTTTGCACTTCACCTCCCCAGCCACTACCCATCTCTGCGGAAATGTTCTCTGGTGCAGATACCGGTGTGGACATGTACACAATAGAATCACCCTGCACAGCTGTTCTGAGCTACGACCTGCTGTTTCTACTCCACGTACCGGATGTATCTTCCACCTCAGTAGAGAACAGTCTATGTGGCTGCACTGTATCCCATTGCAGCAATGTATCATAATTTACTCAGTGTCCTATTTAAAGACATTGAGGTTTTTGCCGCATCACAAACAATGCTGCGAAGAGTACCCTTAAACGCAGGCCTTCCAATACTTACACCAACATTTCCACAGAAGAAATTCTTAGCCCTGAAATCACTGGGTCAAAGGGCATGCCTAGGGATTTTACATTTTGATAGATATTCCCAAGCACATTCCCAAAGGAGGTGCCAATTTATACTCCCATGGTGCCAATACTAGGTATTTTCTTCCACCCAGATCAGTTAAACAACAAAACCAAACCAAATCCCAGCCTCTTGTAGTTTAAGCTTCAGTTTTAGAAGTTTATGGAGATTAGCACTGGGGTTATGATTTTATGAACTGAATTAGAGCTGCAAAGTTTTCCATATTTCTCTACATTCTAGAATCTTCTATCCGGTAATTATCTGTTCCTTAAATTTTTACAAGAATTTACCCATAAAACCTCCTGATCTTAGAATCTTTATGAAAAGATAATTCTCAAATAGCGTTCTTACTTCATCTACCTATCGGTTAAAGTTTACTAGTTCTTACATATGTTTTAAAAAATTGTTTCAGAAATTCATCCACTTCAGAGAGGTTTTTAAAATTTATTGACTTAAAATTGAGCACACATTCATTTATAATTCCAATGACTCATTTGCTGCTGTCCAAATTGAGAGTGTTGTCTGTTTTCTTGTTTTTGTCCTGCATTTATACTGTCTCCTGTTTCCTAGTAAGTTTATTCCTACTTAGGTTTTTGTTACTTTCAAACTATGAGTTTCCTCAGGGCTAGCTCACCTCTATTTTTTATATGTTTTCTTTAGAAATTGACTATGTCTATCATTTTTAAACTTTTCTTCCCATTTTTAATAATGAAAGCATTTAATACTACAAATTTAGCTTAGAATGTGGCTTTCATCATATTCTAGGTTTTTATAAAATATGTACTGGCCTGATTTTTATTATCTAAATAGCATGGTATTCTATTTTGACTAAGAATTAAAAATTTTTTACCTTAATTGGAAGATGGTGTTTACTTTTATTATTAATTTCTAATAAGAGGAGACAGAATTTGGTCCATACTAAACTGAAATTTTATTGGATTTGGATTTTTTTTCTGTTTTTTGTATTGTGTCTATTTTTTAATGGTACATTAAACATCTTCGAAGGTAAAATCTACTTATAGGAACTGAAGTTCAATATATATTAATTTAACCTTAAAAACATATTTCTGATGGACAGCTAAATGCTTTGCAGATGTTTTCTCACTTACTAAACCCTGTAAAAGAACAAATATTGTTTCATTCCACTCAGATGAGGTTCCTAGAGTAGCCAAATGCATAAAGACAGAAAATAGAATAGTGGCTGCCAGGGCCTGGGAGGAAGAGAGAATTGGGAATTCATTTTTAATGGGGACAGAGTTTCAGTTTAGAGGAAGATGAAAAGGTCTGGTGTGATGGATGGTGGGGGCGGTTGCACAAAAATGTGAATATACTTAAAATCACTGAACTGTACCCTTAAATATGACTAAAATGGTAAATTTTATGGTATGTGTATTTTAGCACAATTAAATCAATTTAACCCTGTGTTCTCTATTTGTGGTGATGCACTGGGGCTGAGACCACACCCCTGACAGGCAGTAGCTTCGTGGTTCACACTGAGTGATGTGGAGTCTGAGCCTTCAGCATCCCACCTTGCTCCTCCCCTCCCCATGTGAGAGCTTCAGACAGCTTTTCCCACCCCTTAGAGCCCCCAAACTGGGGAAACAAGGGGTGACGGTTTCACCCAGAGACCTCCTGTCCTCCAGGTGACTTTGCTGATTTCTCCTGTCTTCTCAGCATCCAGGACAACAAGTCAAGGCCCCACCTATACCCCCACAGCCACCACTGCTGACCTCAAGGACCAGGGGGCCAAAAAGAGCTCAGAGTCTTCACCCCTGAGTGTGAGAGCTGCAATCGGGGTGGCACTGGCCGGTGTTGTGCTCCTAACTGCATTTTTGGGACTAATTTTCTACATCTGGAGGAAAAGAAGCAAAGGTAAGTGTCCAGGACCCCCACCCTCTCTTCCAAACACATTCCCAGGGAGGTGCCAATTTATACTCCCATGGTGCCATGGGAATGTGTTTGGGAATATCTATCAAAATGTAAAATCCCAGGAGCCCCACAGAGCTCCAAGTTTCCCGACTGGGTGTTTGTCAGAACCCACCTGCACAAGAATATCTGGAGCGGCCCTTTAAAAATGCAGATCCCCGCAGGGTTTAAGGGCCCAGCCTGGGAATCAGCATTTTTTAAGTCTCCTCAAGTGGTGTTTGTGAGTGATCAAGTTTGAGAACCACTGCTCCAGCCCAGCCCCTCTCACTAGTCTGTTCACTTACGCATTTCTCACCAATCCTCACCTTTTGGTTGACGGGGAGGGGAGGAGACTCCCCAGGAAAACAAGGAGAGAGCAGAGGGACAAGAAGTTGGCTAATCTCAGTGATCGTGGTGAATGCCTGGGCCTGGCTTGTAATGGGAGATAAAAAAGTAAGTAAGGCAGGGGCCCTACTTCCAGAAACTTAATGGGAGAGGGAAGAAGAGAGGGTGCCTCCAGGGCTAACTGCTTCATTTGGAAAGAGCTGTGGTGGTTGGAAGTGGGGAATCAGGGAGGACTTCTCAGAGGAAGGGATACCTGCAAAAAGTCTCAAAGAATAAACAAGCCGTGAGTCAGGCTGGTGCAGAGGGTGGTGCAGAGGTCACTCTCCATGCTGGTGGAGGAAAGCACTCGGAACTGTAAAAATCTCAGTGCTGAGGAGGAGGCGGGGACAGAACAGGGCCTTGGAAGTCACACCCAAGGGCCTCTGATCCCAGAGGCAAAGAGAAGCAGCCAACAGCCTCAGCTTCCCCCTGCAGACCCATCAGGGGGCAGGGGAGCTGGAGGTGGGCCAGGCTGGGGCAGTCTAACGAAATGGGGCACGGAGGGAGGGAGAGAGCCAGGCCCTGGGAAGGTTTAAGAAGGAAAACCCGTAAGACTTGGTGTAGGGTGAGGAGCGAGCAGAAGTCCCATGTTTCAGTTTGGGTGAATGAGCGTGTGGTGACACTGCCCAGTAAGTCAGGGAGCACACAGCTCCCAGGCCTGGCCTGGGAGAGAACCACGCCCCTCAGGATTGGGATATGTTACACTGGAGACTTCCGTGTGGCATCTGAGTAGAGATGTCCATCTAAGTATGAATGTATTCGTTACAGCTCAAAAGAGAGGACAGGGCTGGAGGCATTCATTGTACCCTAACACCCACCAGAAAGGGTGTGCAATTACTTTAAAGGAAACGTCAACAGAGATTAGTCCTACCAGATATTAAAGCAGAGGAGACCATAGAATCTGGACTGCCTGCAGTCAAATCCTGCCCCACAGCCTGGCTAGGTGAACTCTGACACATGGTTCCATTACTCTGTGCCTCAACTTACTCATCAGCGAAATGGATTGATAACAGCGGAACTATTATTGTAATAGCCATAACACATCTAGGATAGACCCTGGCACAGAGCAAGCACTATATGAGCATGAGCACTTATAATTATTAAGCTACTATAATTAAAACGATGCGACAGTGGCATATAATAAACAGATTATAGGTAAAGCAACGGAAGAAAGAAAAACCCAAAGAGGCTGCATGAAAATAGACCAGGATGGTGCTGGTGGGGACGGCGCTGTGACCTGGGGGTGAATCGGGGGAGCGCCGCGCAGACATGGGGGGATCCGCAGGGCGGCAGCGGGGACACGGGGCGTCAGGAGGAGGCCGAGGGGCACTGACGGGAAAGGAGCGGCCGCCGGGAGAGAGGAGCGCGGGGCGGGCGAGCGGCCGGGCCAGGAGCGGGGCAAGCGGCCCCAGCAGCGCGGCGTCCGCCCCCGCTGCGGACGGCGGTGGACCGGGCACTGCAGGGCGCTCGGAGCCCGGCCCTCCCAGAGCAGAACCGGCGCGGTCCAGGCCGGTGTCCGCGGCGGAGCCGGGAGGCGGGTGGGAGACGCCCGAGGGCAGCGCCTGACGACCTGTTGGTCCCTTCGCAGGACGGAGCGCGGAGGCCGGGAGCCCAGCCAGGTGAGCGCGGCCGCGGGCAGGAGCTTCTTACTCCACCGCGCTCCGCCCACCGTCCCGTCCGCTGGTCCCTTTTCCGCGTCTGCCCCGCGGCCCGTTTCCCCTCCCTCTGGATCCCCTCTGGGTCCCTTCCCTCCCTGGGCTCCTCCTACAGTCCCCTCCCTGTCCTCCGCCTCCCCTCCCAGCGCTTCGTCTAACAGCCGCTTCTCTGCAACAACCCGCCTTCAGCGGGCGCTCGAACCTCAGCTGGGTTTCCCCGCAAACTGCCTTCCGATCCTCTCCCAGCAGCCTCCTCCTGGGAGCCTCAACCTCTGAGTCACCTGAGGTGGTGGGGGGGTGGCAGAACCCCTCGCAGAGAACTCGCCCCAGGCAGGTTTGAACTCTTCAGCTAAGCCCGGAACACGGGTCCCGCCCTCTCCTTCCCACACAGGGACTCGCTGCACAGAGCCGAGGAGAAATACGAGAACGTTGGGAGTACAGGCAAGTCTGCACCACCACCGCCCCACTCCCCACCGCGGCCTGCCTTCCCGCCCCTTCCAGGGCCCTCAGCGAGCCTTCTTTCCCAGGCCTCCCATCTGTCCCTACTATCCCTGGGCCTGCCCTAGCCCGAGGACCTCACTGCTGGTGCCCTGCCCATTCCTCCACCCTGGCTGCTATGCCACCTGACCCCCGCACACCTTTATTTTTTTTCCTAGGACAACTTACAGACCCCAAGCTGAACCCCAAGGTAAGCTGCTCAGAGGAGGACCTGAATTAGGGGCAGTTTTGGAGAAGGTGGGGCTGGAAGGACTAGAGAGCCTGTGGTGTCAGCAAGTCCCTCAGGTGTGGGCTCCCTGCTCTAGGATGGGACAGCTCCCCCGACTATCTAACCCCTTCTCTCTGGTTGCTGCCCAGGAGGATGGCATCCTCTATGCCTCGCTTGCCCTCTCCAGCTTGATCTCTCCAGCAGCCCCTGCCCGAGAGAGCCCCCAGGAAGAGACCCTATACTCTATGGTAAAGGCCTAGCGAGAGGGACCAAATGATAACCTCCTCGGAGTAAGCTGTGCAGAGGGGTCACAGCTTCCTACAGACACCACGGCCAGTCACAGACGTCTCAAAAGCCAGCAGGTGTTGAAGCCACCAGGGACCAGAAGGAACCAGCCATCTGCTCTAATTCCCTCTTCAACTCCTAACCTTTGCCCACACAAATAAAAGTTCCCATAGAATTTGCCTGAATGCATCTAAGAAGGAAACCGATGTCACCTTCAACTTCTGTCCTTCTCACTAAAAATGGACTCTAATATAGAATAGCTCAGGCCCAAGATTCTTCCTCTAGTATTCTTCTCCAGTGAGTGCCTCAGGCAAGAGATTAACAACCTCAGAGCCACAGGGCTCTTCCCCTTACAGAGCCCTTCCGTGCCCTCATTCATTTCATCTTCCTGACAACCCCTGTTTCACAGGTGGGGATGGAGGACGCCAGGTCATCTGCAGAAGTGAGTGTGCACCTGTGCATCCTGTATCCCCATCAGCTCAGGATCTCCCGGGCAGATCTCATCTCTCCCTCCTGGCCCAGTGCATGAGCTCCAGGGTCTCTGACCCACAGAGTGGCCACCAGAGAGAATGCCCATAGGCCCTCAGGCCCCTGCTCCCCTGGAGTTTGGGCCCAGCCCTGGGTCCCTGACCTCAGTCCTGCATTGTTTCCTTACTCACAATTCTGGGCCACTTCTCCTGGCTCCTTGTTCCTTGCTCCTTGAGACTCCACTGGGGCCAGGAAGTACAGGTAGAGGGACAGCCCAGCCATTCCCAACAAGGTAACCCCTTTCTGAACGTTGGAGCAAGCCCAGAGGGAGCCTGGGGCTGGGGTGTCCCGGATGTGACCACAAGAACCAAAGTGAACCCAGTGCCCTTATCTTGCAGGTAGGCAGCCTGGGGTACCAAGGGGAGCAGGACTGACCCACAGCTGCCCAGCGGGGAGTGGCAGGGGTGGACCCCAGGTCTCCCCATCCCCTCCACCCCACCCCAGTGCCACTCCTTTTTGTTAGTCTCTGGGGCTTTCCTTGGATTTTCAGGAAATGATTTGATCTGATAATTAGTATTTATCCTTTAAAAATGAGACTTGAGTGGCTTCTGGAACCAACCAACAACATATCTCCTGCCTCATCGTGGAAGTCAAAGGGAAAATAGGATTTGATATATGGAAATAAGCTTTCAAGGCAGCAAGCAAGGACCCATAAAACAAGGGCAGACAAGGTGCGCATAGAATCTGTAGCTGCGATGTTAAATGTTGCCCCTACCAGCCAGGATCCGCAGGTGAGATGGGGGCTACAAAGGGGCAAAGGGTAGGTGATGGGCTTGCCTGGGGGCCCCCTGAGTTTGACCCAAATCTCCACCCCACCCCCACCCCCAGAAGGGCCATCCTTCAGGCCTCCAGCGTCTCCTTCATTCCCTATCTGGGCCCTGTCCTCCTGCGTCTTTGTCGCCATGGCTTGTCCAGGCTGCTAAGGACCCCCCAACATAAAGCGGTGGTTCTGGGATTTCAGGCACCTTAACAAGCTGGGGCAGGGACAACCTGGAAGCAAGAAGGTCTTCCATTAGGACCGGGGCAATGCAGCCCAGCCTCCCAGGGCCGGGGTTGGGCCCTGGTGAGTAGTTAAGGGCAGCATGGCCAACAGGGATAGGATGCGAGCCACAAATGCAGAGCACAGAGGAAATTTTTAGTTTCCTAGGAGCCATGTTAAAAAAGTGAAGCAGGTGAAATCAATTTTAATAACATTTTATTTAACCCAGCATACCCAAATTGTATTCATTCCAACATGTAGTATTTTTTTTTAATTGAGATATATCTTACATTATGTTTCTTGCACTGTCTTGAAAGTCCAGTGTCTATTTTACAGTTACAACACATCTCAGTTTGGACAAAATAATCTTTAATATGTGACTAGTGGCCATACATTGGATAATGCAGTTTCAAGGGGTAATTTTTCAACCCTTTTTAAGCCATAGACCCTTTTTCCCAGTAAACTTTTGCATAGATATTCAGTTCATACAGGAGATAAGCATGGCGCTGCTCCGGATAGGTGCAGGGTTGGGGGTCCTAGGGCTGCATTCTCCAGTCCCTTCATCCCTTTGTTCCTCTGAGAGGCCTCTATATCCCCACTTCCCACCCCTCTATTGCCTGCTCCAGAGAGCAACCATTGAAAATACCACCAGTGCTAATTAACATTTATTGGATGCTTACTGCAAGCCAGGCATGGTACTAAACATCTTACATTGTGCCCATTCTTTAGAAGACAGAGGCTCAGAGAGATGCCTGGGGGTACACAGTCAACTTCAGAAGCCCAGCACCCCACCCAAAAGTGGAGCAAAGTCACTGGCCCTTGCGTCATCCCCCAGGAGGGGCCCCTGCTCCTCTCACCTGGGCCCAACACCCCCAACCCCAGCAGGACCCAGCAGGTTCGGTTGTCCAGCAGGCAGCAGGCAGCTGTTCTGCAAAGCAAATCTAGTTGTAAACTGGTGAATGTTTAGAACAACTTCAGGGCCAGAAAAGGAAATATGAAGGGAAAGCCCTTCAAAGCAACTTCCCCAGATGCCATTAGAAAAAGCCAAGTTCAGTTAGAAAGATTGGGGAGGACATGGTCTCTGAACGTCTCAGTGGAGGGTTGGGGGCAGAGGGGTTGCCGAGCAGGCAGACACCCCCTCTCTGCCAGAAGCCCACTGAGCACAGCAAGAAACGGACTCAGCTGCATCGCCCTGGGGCGGTTTCTTCTTTCCCAGCCTCAGTTTCCTTATCTGTGGTGGGGTTTCTCGCATAGACCAAGGCCTATGGTGAGTACAGCCCCAGCCCTGCACTTGGCATGGGGCAGGGACCAGATGTGACAGGGCCAGACCTGGGGCATCATGTGGGAGCATCTTCCATCTCAGCTACTGACTTTGGGGGTCCTGGGCCTCCGTTTCCTCATCTGTGTGCTTGTTAAAAATGTAGGTCCACCCCCCCAGGAGATGTGTTGGCTCAGACACTGGGGGCAGAGGACAGGCGGAGAAGCCCAGGACTTTTTTTTTCTTTTTTGAGAGCACAGTTCCCAGGTCTTTCTAATACCCATTCAAGCCTGGGAGCTGTTCAGGCTCTGGCCTCTTGGCTCAACCTCACTCGGCCGTGCTGTCCCTGCCCACAGCCACATCCCTTGTGCCACGGGGTACTCAGTGCTGCTCCTCTGCCACAGGCCTGGCATGTGTCTGCATCAGACTAGCCCTGAGATGGAAGGACCCCAGTTCCAAACCAAAGTGCCCTCTCTCTGTGGTGTCACGGAGACGCAGACCCCGGCCCTGGCAGCTCTGGGGCCCCGGGCACTGGAGCCAGAGAGGCATCCGACCCAGCCTGAGGCCCTGCCCCTCTGGGCCCCTGGGGAATGGTGAACCAACTCCTCTCCCGTCCCCGGATTGTCTGGCAATCCACGGCCCTGCTGTACCCTCCTCACCCCCAGGAGAAGACTTATCACCCAGGGTCTCCCTTTCTCCCTCACCAGCCTTCCCTACCCACCTCCCCAAGGAGGGGTCTGGCCCAGGCCTTGGAACCAAGGTTTTGCTTTTGCATCAAGTGGAAAGCAGGCCTTCGCATGGTGTCTTTGCACCCATAGTCCTAAGCCCATTGCCCCGCCTACCGCTGCCAGGTCAGCTCCTCCTCCAGATCTTAGCCCTCCTGTCCACACTGCCTGCACCACCACCTGACCATGGCTCCCAGAGCCGCTCAGGGCTCCAAGCACTCTGCCTGGTCCAAATATTACATGGGGTGAGTGAATGATTCCCATCTGACTAAGCTCACAGGAGGGCAGAGGCTGGGCGGAGTTCCTCACACGCCTCAGCGGCACCAGCCTGCAACACAGTAGGGCTCTGCACACATCTGCAGAATGAATGAGTGAATGAATGAATGAAAAATAGGCCTCATCTGTTTGCTGTCTGCTCACTTGTTGATCTCTTATTTTCTGTCTCTTTAGGTTGCTCTCGCCAGCAAGATGTGCGTGTGGGTCTGTTCCTGTGTCCTTGTTTGTGCGCTGGCCTCTGACCCCCTTCTTGCGGATTTAATCCGTGTCTGGCTCCAGCCGCCTCTCTGATTCCCTGTCTGTCTCAGTCGGCTGTCTTTCCTGGGATGCTCTGCCGTGGCGCCCTCTCTGAGCCTTTCTCCCGGCTACCGTGGGTCATCTCTCTCTGTCTCTGGGGGGTCTTCGTCTCCCGTGCTCTCTGCGTCTCTCCCCACGCCTGTCTTGGTCATCCTCACTCAGCCTCCTCCTCCCCTGGAATCTGTCAGAACAGAGGCGTGTGATTGAGTTGGGGCCGTCTCCGTGGCTGCAGCTGTGGAGTAACTGAAAGATCAATTTGGAACGACTGCCTCTGTAATAATTGCGCCTTAATAGTGTCTGTGAGGCAGAATGAGGCTTGGTGTGAGGTGGCCAGGACAGCCCTGGGACCCTGGCGGGAAAAGGGCCACCTGGAGCTATCACCTCCGTGGGCCAGGCTCTGGAAGGGACACGTGGACAGAAACAGGAGGGGAGTGGGAGTGAACGAGTGGGAAGGGAAGCCAGTCTCACCCCCATGCCCTCCCAGAGGTGGCCCTGCCCCCCCCCTCCTACCCACTGTGCCCCACTTGTTTATAATTTATGCTTATGATCGGAATTATCAGCAATAATGATAATGTGATTATAATTGCGGATCTGCCTGACTCAATTGCAGTGCTGTTGGTAAATATTATGATAGGGAGTAGCACGAGGTCACTGCCTCCCAGAGCTTGATGGATGGGGTGGGGTATGGGAGTGCCCCAGGGGTTACCTGGTCCCTCCCCCACTTCCAGGCAAACCCATTCACCCCTCTCCAGAGAACTTGCCACCCCACCATTTCCTCACCCATCTTAACACCCAACAGTCCTCCCCGTGTCCAACGTGAATCATTCCTGCCTTAGGCTCAGCAGTAAGCATTGAGAAGCCTGTGGGGTGTGGGGGCATGCTGTCTGTCTGTCACCCCACCAGCAGAGGGCACTCTAGAGCTGTAGGGTAACTTCCACTGGGGAGATGAGGTAAGGCAAGCCAGAAAGGATGGTCCTTCCATACCCAAGTTGGGTTTGACTGGTGAGTGAGTCCCACAGGAACTCAGAGGTGGCCTGAGGGCTCTTGGCAAGGGGCTAAAGGGCAGGACAGGGCCACTGCCCCAGGCATGGTCCTTGGGGAACAGGGGACATTGCT